AACACCGGCTTCAGCAATTACTTTTTGAATGTGACCCCGAAAGCTCAGGCAGCAAAAGCAAAAACAGATGCATAGGACTGTACCAAAGTAAAAGCTTCTGCACATTAAGGAAACACAGTAAAGAAAAAAACCTGTGAAATACAAAATATTTGCAAACCATATATCTGATAATGGGTTAATATCCAAATACCTTTACTGAGTAGCTACTCTGAAATGATACACAGTATAACAACTATGGTTCTCGTATTTACTTGTCTATGAAAATTTTTTCATAAAATAAGAAACATCAATTTAAGAAAATTACAATTAAAGAAACAGGCAAAAGTTCTGGATAGATTATTTCTTAGATGACAACAAATGATCAACAGGAGCTGGGCATGGTGGTACACATCTGCCTGAGCACAAGTCTGAGCCCAGCCTCGGCAACTTAGTGACTTAGTGAGATCTTACGAGTGAATGAGCTTGGGGTACAGTTCAGTGGGAAGACCCTAAATTCAATCCCCAGCGCCAATCCCCCAAAAATGTATATATACATGAAAAAATACTTAACATTAATCATTGCAGAAAAGCGAATTAAAAGCATGAGATATCACTGAGATATCACCTCACACCTGTCAGAGTTGCTACTCAAAAAAACTGAAAGACAGTAAGTGATGAGGTGGAGAGAAGGGAGAATCTGGACACTGTTGGCGGGAATGCATCCGAGCAGAGCCAGTGAGAAAAAACAGTATGAGGAAACTAAAAAGTTAAAAATGAAACTACGGGATGATCGAGCAGTTCTAATGCTGAGTATAGGCTCAAAAGATGAGAACAGTTTGTGGAAGAGACATCTATGCTTTACTGCATTAGTATTAATAATGTGGATGCATGAGTGCATAAATAAAGCATGGAATATATTCACAATGAAATATTAGGCTTTTTTATAAAAGGAAATGTTGCAATTTGTATCACCACAGATAAAAACTGGAGGATATAACTAACCATCCCCACAATAAGCCCCATACAGCATGATCTCTCTTATAGGTGGAATCAAAACGTCAAGCTCATAGAAGCAGACAGTAGAATGGTAGTTACCAAGGGCTGGGAGTGGGAGGATGGGAGATTTTGGTCAAACACACGTTATTATGAAAAAAAGTTAGAGGAAAAATATATTTCGGTTTCTGAACCTATACAGAAAACTTGATAAATCATCCAGTATTTGAAATTTGCTCACTGTTTTCTTTTTTCTAGGAACTACAGGGGCTCCAAAACTCCTACTTTGTGGATGTTCACTGCTGCCTCCATATGGGGGTCTGTGCTGGCCACGGGGAAGCCCCGGGCAATTTGTCGCGGACACAGCAGGAAGTGGGTGGTTGTGGCTCTGATGACTTGATTCACTTCTGAGTGGGCTTAGCTCTGCACAAAGGGTTCCTGAGTCCTCCCCACCACCCTCCGATAATGCTGCTTTCCTTCTCATGACGAGGGCTGTAAATCTCCAAGGAATTTGAAGGCAGACTCAAGCCATTTAGATGCAGCAGGAAAAGGTTAGAAAAAAACTCTGCAGCTTTCCTCTCAGCAGGCTGTAGGAGACCGAGGCAACTGGGCAATACTTGGGCACTGCTGGCAAACCACACGTGCCCACGGGTCAGAGGCAGCGCTCCCACAGCTGGACTTCGTCTCTGTCACATTTGGTCCACAGCAAGCCACAGCAAGAACCCCCTGCTCCGCGTTCAGTGATGCCATTCCCCAGGGTGGGACGACAGGGAAGTCCCATAACTGCAAGGGCCTTTCTAACACCACAACTCTTGGTAGACAGCTGAAGAACGATGCCAATGCCTCCCCTGGACTCCCTGATGAGTGCCCCAGGGACACAGTGGCAGGTCAGCATTACACACCCATCAGCATCTCCCCAAGAGCATGGCCTATGGAATCAGGTGGCCAAAGCCACTATCTATCCTGCTGCAGTTTCTCCCAGAAACTAACACTTCTTGTCCTTTGGAGGGCACTTTCTAACAGTGAGCACACCGGTCACCGGGGTCTCCTGCAGACAGATGCACGGTGAACAACTGCCTTTAACACTGGATTCTGGCACCAGCGGTGAGAAGGCGAAATGAAGGCTGTTCACCTCTATTTTGCCATGAGAAAAATGCATATATTTCTCTTAAACGGTGTTCATAGCTTCATTTATTCTCTAAACTAAGGCAGGGGAGAATTCCCTCTATCCTTTGTTTCAGAGACATGCACTGTAATATACACATTTTAACCCCCAGTGGCAGTTCCATGAGTTTTTATTTTCTTCAACCACAAGATTTTAAAAAAAATCACTTGGCAGTAACCACTGCCACCTTGTGGCCAAGCATTGAACTTTCAACTGGAAAAAACACTTCAATGTCAGTAAAGGCTTTAGTGGCTAAGCACTGGGAATCTCACACAGCCACTAAAACTGTAGTATAGTGCACAATGTATCTGTTTTTCTGAAAAATTATGTATTACATATTCTATAGTTATTGGGCTCCCCAAATATTCCACGTTGATTTCTTGTTTTCTACTATACCATGATTTAATTCCTGGTGAGAATTTTGACTGCTTATAGACTCACAAGGATTTCCGGTTTGTAAGCAAAATGTATTTTGAGGTTGAATCTGAGACACTTATTTATTTATTTGCTCCATCAGTAATAACTCGGAACACAAACCACTGCATGGCCAGATTACGACCATTAAATTCTACTTGACCTGACCTGAGGACCTAAGAAACCATTCAATTTTCGGCTCAGGACCTCGGGAGGCTCTAAGGAGGCAATGTGAGCAGGGACCCAGCTCCACTGCTTGAGTCACAGCATTCACAGTGGTATCAGGAGGATGGAGCCTGAAATCCAGGTGGGTGACCCGCAGGACCTCCCCAATGTCCTTCTCAAGCCCATGGCCATCACCTACTCCTCTTCAAGAGTACAGCCAGATGAAAGGCTCGAGGCACTGCAGTAGAGCCGTGTGTCATAGTGTGTGGACTCTGAAATAGCGCAAGAAATACTCTGGAAGACAGGGACAACTGGAGCTCCAAGAGAGCCAACGATCAGAATAGGAAGCAGAGACTCCAGGCCATCGAGCCCCACTGGGGACTCCTGAGCAGGAGGGGGCAGCACTGAGGAGTCCAGACCACGAGGACAGGGTGCAAAGTGAGGTCTAGGAAGTCATTAGCTACCTCCCCAAACACCATGACCCCTGTCCATGCTATGTGTGTCTCCTTTCTGTAGCTTCCAGCCTTCCAGATCCAGCTGTACACGCACAGCACTGAATCAGAAATGTCAACATAAACCCTTGACCAAGCATTATCATTTCTAATAGCATAGAAAAACAGGCACAAGCATGCAAAGATAAGAGCACAGGGCACTCACTGCAACATGGACTGAAATAAAAGACCAGGAACACTGCATATGCAGCAGATAAACTGCTGGCATGCTCTTTAAAAGGAATACTATGCAACTGTTAAAATGAGTCAGATAAGCTGTGTAAAAATCCAAATCAATCTCCAAAATATACTATTTTTTAAAAGTTAGGGACAGTATCACAGTCAAAATACTTTTATAATGAAATATGTATGCATATATATGGTGTGCATATGTCCTTTATGTACAAAAATTCAACTGAAAGGCTACACATAAAACCCATAACAACTGCCTCTTTCAGAGAAAGGATATTGGTATTTGGGTGATTCTCATACCACACATTAGAAGGCAGTGTTAGATGACAGCTCTATTCGTACCCAATGTTCTGCCCACCTCACCTCTGTATGAGAATGACTTCTTCAGCATGGCACGTTCACCTTCTTGCTGTCTGCCCAGCTGATTTTAACTCAAGCTCCCTTTCCAGCACAGCTGCTACTTTCTTTGAAATGTGCTGTGGCCTCTCTCCCTGGTAAGATGCCACTGTCACGCTGCAGCACTCCTCCTTCCCGATGGAATCACAGCCAAAGCTCATGCTCAGAATCCTGTCGTCCAGAACCTCTCGATGCAAGGAAACCCTGACTCACCTGTCACAATCATGGCGCCTTCTCAACCAGCATTTGCTCTCTCCTTTGGTAACCAAAGCCCAACTCAGAGGCCAATTCTAAACAGGCAGTACAGAGCCCTGCCCAAGGATGGACCCGGCCTGTGGTAAGCTGATCTGGCACAGCTGTTTTGGCTAAGTATTTGCCCTTCCAGCCTCCTTTGCTGCTAAAAGAAGCTGATCTAAGTCCAGGCAAAATCTATTGTTGATAAAGGAGAGTGGCCCTTTGTCCTCTGCTCTATGCTCGCTGCTTTCAGTGCAGTCATGTGATGGTATGACATCCAGAGATACAACAAACACTCTGAGACCATGTCTAGTACCACTAGGCTACAAATCCAATCTAGCCTTGTCACCACTGAACTTATTGCTGTGTGAAATAACAAGAACAAAGTTGGTACGAATACGCTAAACCCATCCTGTTTATTGTTTGTATCACTGCTGGTTGGCTACTCCATTATCTGCAGCACAAGCATTTCTAACTGCTTGTCTAATGGTTCTAATCATTATAGGCCAACACATTCGATCTCAAGATCAGCCTATGCTATCAAGCAAAAGGTCTTCGTTTGAGGCCAGGATCAATGTCTTGGGACACAGCAAATCAAGGTGCACTTTCTAAATCCTCTGTGTTCCTGTGCCCAGCTCCAAAATAGTTCAAAATTCAGAAGCAGAATCAAGATCAAATTCACCAAGACAACTGACGCATGACACTTGGCTGCTGTGACCACCATTCTGCTAGTACAAAGACCTTTACATTCTTGGGCCTCATAACCTTGTGGTGATTCTTCCACAGAACTGCATGGTGGAAGAAGAGGGTAAACTCTTTAGTTCATAGTTTTGTTAGAGGCCAGTCATCCCCTATGAGAACCCAATCCAAACAGTGTTGTGATACTCAGCTTTATGAAATCTTCAAGGTGTGCCTTCCCAAAGCTCTGCAATACAGACAGCTGCTGAGGCTGTGACCGTGAGCTCACTTACCGGGGTCTGAAAGCAGCAGAACAACTGGGTGAGGAAGGGGTGACTGCGGGCCAAGGCCAGGATCCTCTTCTCCGTCATGGTGCATTCCACGTCGTCATCCTGCAGGATCACGTCCTTCTTCAGCACCTTCACAGCATAGAGTTCGCCTGTTTCTTTTATCCTTGCGAGCATCACCTAGGGCAAGATGAGGATACAGCATGAGAGGAGCCTCTCTGGGGTCCCTAGGCTGTGGGTTCACGTGAGAAATTGAGTACACACACACACACACACACACACACACAAGTTGGTGTGACCAGACAGCTTCAGCCAAGGCTCACCTTCCCGAAACTCCCTTTCCCTAACACTCGGATGAACTCAAAGTCATTGATGCCAAGTCTGTTGGAAGAATTCATCCCGACCCCATTTCCTTCTTTGCTGCCCTCTTTTCCTTGTCGTCTTAGGGTGTATCTGGAAACAAGTTTCTGCAAAGAGGAGAAAGAACATTTCGAGTCAGAGAATGGTGGTGTGACATGCAGCATGGACGGGGGAGAAGACGCTCCCGGGTGGAACTAGCCTCATCCCCAGAGGTCAGCTCAGCTCTGCAGACCACTGGGATGTACAACCCCAAACTGCCTCAGCATCAGTTCCTGGTCTGTTTCCATTGCTTGGTGGGAAAAAAAAGCACCGTAAAATACATCTACACTGAAGATTTAGAGCTGAAAGGGAAGAGTAAGGAAACAACAGTGCCTTAGTCTAGTCCCTGTGATTTCTTTTGCAGTGATTTCCCACAGGGAAACCCGGTACTAGGAGCGCCCCCTAGTGTACACTTCATGCAAAAGCAGTTTTCAAGTTTGCTCAGAAAATCAAGTACCATCCAGAAACAGGACAGGAGATGGAAGGAGCAATGTCCTTTATACAAAAACTACACAATAAATAAAAAGTTCAATTAAAAATTGGAAAAATTACCAAAAGTACAAGGGATAAATTTTTATATATCTAAACCCGTACCGGCCTCTTGGTAAGAGTTTAGGTATGTACTGTACATATGTCAAAAATACCTGTATCTTAATAATACACACAAATATATGCATTTACACTTAATTTTTAAAAATATAGTTAATTATTACAACATACATTTTAATTTTAAAAGTCATATTTTTTCTATCTTTAAACATCTTTTGAGAACATGAGTATTTTATTCTGTGTGTGTGTGTGTGTGTGTGTGTGTGTGTGTGTGTGTGTGTTACTGAGGATGGAACCCAGTTTTTCTCATATGCTGTCTCCCAGCTCTATCACTGAGCTACACTCCCAGCCCCAGTACAGCAGTTTTAATGGATTCTATATGGACAGATCATTTGCTTCCTAAATCCCTTGCTATTGGAAGTGCTTGTCAACCGCTGTTTTTCACGCTATTAACACCACCAAGGTGAGCTTACTTGCAGGCAAACAGCGTTACACAGTTTGGGCTGTGAAGGAAGCTGCCTGGGTTTAGATGACCGCTCTGGAGCCAGCCTTGACCTCCAGCGGGTGAACCTCTCCCAGACTCAAGTCTCCCCTTGCTTTTTTTTCAGTCTCCCCTTGTGATGGGGCTGGGGCGTTAGGGCATCTGCTGCAAGAATTATCATGAGGAATAAATGGTCATAATGCACATAAGCCGCACACACAGGTGCCTGGCACAGTCAATACCCTTAAGCGGCTGGCATATAACCCTCATCTATCTCTCTAAGATGACCTTTTGGAAATGTCATTCGTTGGGCCACAGTGTTAACTCTGAAGGAGTCTGACACGCAGCCAACACGTCCCCTCCAGCGTGGGCGATCTGCACCTTTAGCAGCACCACCTGTGCCTCTGTCACCACCCTGCACCAGCAGTGAAGTCGTGCTGGGTCCCCTGTGCCTTCACAGCAAGGGGGCTGCTTCTGCAGGTGCCTCCCTGGACATGCTTACCACACATGCAACCACTAGGAAACAACAAAAACCCAGTGTCCTAGAATTTTTAACCTTTTAGCTGGGGGCAAAAAAAAAAGCTTATCTGGGCCAATTTCTAAGCAATGTGAGCAACAAACCAACCATGTAGGCATTTGAAGCTTCAAGGATTTTACTTACTTAAACCCATAAAATAAGGGTGGCAAGATATAAAACAGAACATCTTAATAGCCAGTGGGATTTTTGTTCTTGTCTTTGTTTTGAGATAGGGTCTTGCTGTGTAGCTCAGGTTGGCTTCGAACTCACTGCAGTCCTCCTGTCTCAGCCTCCCAAGTGCTTAGAGGCATGTATCGCCACTTCCAGCTTAATCCAATGGTTTTAACAATTTCTCCTCCTCTGAATCTCTCAGCACCATTTTTTCAAACATAAAAAGGTGGTACCAGTTTACATTTTACTTTTTCTACACCCATACTTTCCATGGGTGGATTAGCAGTGGCTAGAAAAGTCTAAGCCGGTGTTTCTCAATCTTTTAAACCCATCTCTTTTTATTTGACTTCAGAGTCCTTCTTTTTAATGTTTCAATGTCAAAGAAGAGGTAATTTTGGTTTTCCCACTTTTAAAAAATATAACATGAAAGGCCACTGGTTCAATGACAAGGGTACTGGCCATTCCTGAACATCTATTCCCACCATATTTCAGAAGCTGGGGCTCAGGCTGAAATCCTTAATGGGCTACTCCAAGAATAATTGTTCTATCTATCAGAAATTCCTTTCAGCATTTAAGCATCTTTGCTGCCTATCCCTAAGACAGATGGACCTGGACTTCTCCTTCGCCTCCCTGGAATCAAGAAACACATTGTCAGTACCAGTCCCTGGTCTATTAAGCAGGAGTATATCAGGAAAAAAGACACAAAGTGGGTAGTGTTGTATTTGCTAAGTTACCAAAAACCTTGCAGTGATTACACTTTCTTCCTTCCTAGGTACCCAGGAATCGTTTAGCAGCTCAGTCTCAAATCCTCCCAAACCAGGCCTCATAGGACACCTTCCAACACAGAGCCACACAATATGGCTGCTCCCAGCACTCAGCAGCCTCTGGTCAGGATGGCAGCCACAAGAGCTGGGCTGTGCAGCCGCCAAGGCCCTGGCCAACACTAGGTGGAGATTGCTCAGGAGATTGCATGACAAAATATGTGCAGGCCAAATGACCTGACTCCACCCACTCCCGGGAGCCCAGAGGAAGGAACTCCTGTCCCCTGCTGAAGGCAAGAGATAAACGTATTATTCATAAACAAAAACTGCAGAACTGCCGGATTCCAGGGAGGTCTTCAAGTTCAACCTTGCTGGGATGAGAAAGCTAGGCTCTGTGGCCATGGTCAACGGTCCTGCCCAGCCCCCAGCTGAGCGCCCAGCCCAGGGCTCTGGGTTCAAAGCTTTTCACCAGATTATACAGACAGGAACCAATTAAAAAATACTGTGAAAAAGAAAAACATCTTCCTCCTGATTTCTGGTATTACTGTATTTACTCATGTTAGAAATACTGAGGGTGCCTCGTGTTCTCCTATGGCCTTGCCACAACTGCACAACTTTTACATTACAGTTCATGGGAAGAAACAAAGTCCCACTCACTGAGGTCGGAGAAATATCTCTAGGCTGGATGCCCATCCTTGCCAGGGTCTTGGCCAGCTCCACCGCATTCACCCCACAGTTAGGGGCCACGTTGGCTTGACAGCGAATATGTACGTTCATTCTACAAACTGGAGGGAGAGAAACACAGATTCTATATTCAAAAAAGATCCAAGTCAACATGTGCTGTGACAGAGAAATTTAATAACCTGAAAAATTACAACAGAGGAACTATACAGGCTGAACAGTGTGATCTCGTAAAATTAAACTCACACTGTAACAGTTCCTTATGTTTTATCTATGGGATGTGATCAAACATACAGTGATTACATTTCTCACGAAACTATTACAGTAAGAGACACGCTGCCACTGATCTCCCTAAGAGTACTCTCCCTCACTTTGACCACCTGCACCCCAAGGTTTTTGTCACTTTCTGAAACAGTTCTGGAAGTCCTTTTTCATGAGTGTCTTTGAGACAGTGTCACGGCTGCCTTGATGTCCTGAATCAACTCAAAACATTTACCTTTTACGGTCACTTTGACTTTGGGAAAGAGCTAGAAGACACTTGCACCCAGATCCAGTGAGCAAGGTGGCTGAGGGCATACTGTGATGTTTCATGATCTCCACTGGATGACATTCAGCGGTAGCATGCATGCATTTTTTATCACACCTTGTAAAGACACTGATGAGAGAAGTGGCAAGAACAAGATGGAAAGAGTGTGCTCAAAGAAAGGAGAAATATTTTGAGGGGGATAAATGGTACCTTCCGCTATAATAAATTGTATTTAATCATTTACCATATATTTCAGTCACCCTTGTATTTCTGTTCTGTGCAGAAGCAGAATTTCTGGCACGCTAAAGACTCATAGATTTTAAGAACATTTTTTTATCATGACTTGATGAAACGCATTCATCTAAATCACTTGTAGCCATCATTGCTGACTCCACAGCATGATCCAACATAAAGAGGAAAATGTTCATCATAGTGACAATTCAGTCAATTAAATAACAAAGACTTCTGTCAACTGATTTTTTTTTTCTCCTAACAGGGAAATAAAAGGCAGCTGTCTAAATGCCACAGAACGATCACAGTTCACACAGGATGGAAGCGCTATTTCGGAGAGCTCGCTTTCTCAGTACTGCTGTGGTTGGGTGGCCCTCCAAGCAGACAGGCATCTTGTGGCGCCGTGGTTCTTGGTGTTTGCAGCCTGTGGTTCTGCTTCATGGGGGAAGAGCGTGCAACTTTGAAATGTCTGAAGTCCAGGGTAAACAGCAGTCAGAAGTTAGCAGATCAAGTGAAGCTCCCTGTGCTCAGGAAGTGACTTAGGACCATGACAATTCCAAGGTTTAATCAGAAGAAACAAATCCCGATGCAGAGTCCTGATGTGAGTCCTGCTGGTGGGAGGCAGAGCTGGGGTAGCATGCAGTGAATTCTTGTTTTATGGAGTCCATCCATCTTTGGAAGAACACGTGACCTAGCTTTTAGGGGGCTTGCATTTGTGAAAGGGGAGGGGTCCTGAAGCTTCAGCTTCATCATCTTCACAAGAAATCTACCTCTCAGGAAGACTGGCACAGACACACAGAGCTGGCACGGGCCTTTCAAAACCATCACATGGCAACAAAAGTGAACAGCACTGCACGTTGCTGCCTCAGACCTCCAGGACAGATGAGAGCCACACACCAGTCCAGGCAGAGCTCTACACTACAACCACCGCCTCACGAAAGCACAAAGCGCCTTTTGGGGTGGAAACCCACGCCTGTGCAACCATCCTGTCAGCATCAAGTACTCCTGAACCACAAGCCCTAATCTACACACAAGCTGGCTGCTCTTTTGGTTGTGTGAAAAGAAAAACAATAAATAGCATGCTAGAGAGAGAAGAAATTTGCTGTTCTAACAGACAAGTGGGTGCTTCTGACAGCAGCAGGCTCTGTAAGTCCAGGGACTAGCCTGGACAAGGGAAGTCGGCTACTGGAACACATGTGGCTTCACTTCCTGGGTCCCTCTTCTGCACCACTCCTCTGGGCATCTGATCAGGCTGCAGGTGCGGTCTCAGTGGGAAATGTCTCAAGGCCAGCAGCTCCCAAAGCCTAACAAGGGTCAGCTCTCATCCCCTCAGGGATGAGCACTGGACAGCACCAGGCAAAGTCAGGGAGTACCAAGTGCAGGATCAAAGTGTGCTCCCCACCTGCCTCCAGCCTCCATCACAGCCCCCAGAGAAGGCAAGGGTCGCCCCACTGTGCCCTAAAACCTCCCACTATTCTTTGAGCCCCCATCACCTCTGCTATCTCTGGGCCAACATCTCATTTTTTCCCTTTCAAATACCTATTAACTAGCACAATGCCTCACCTGCACCAACAGATGTTACTTAGCTAGCTCCATCAAGGGGTTAAACATGTGACTTTATGTTCTGAGGTTAACTGGGGACCTGACGTAGTCCTCTTTATGCCTGAGAAGGAATATATATAAAACTACCAAGATGTTTTTAATACAATCTATCTACAACTCCAGTTCTCACTCAAATTCTGAGCCTACAGAATCCCACAAGCTTGTGGCATAGTGTCGCCATAAAGAAGCGGGTACCCGACATGACATCTCACTTGTACACTGAAGTCCTTGTCGCATGATCCCCCAGAGCAGGGAGCCGCAGTGATCGCAGAAGGTTGGAACTTTATAGTTGTGGATGCTGAACTTGTGTGGGATATTGATTCCAAACCTCTGTTCAGCCAACTGGAAAAATAAAAAACACAAGAAGACAAGAGCTAAGATTTTCTATCAATATCCTAGATAAAAACTGTAGTAGGAGCCGCCAAATGCAAAGTGTGACTATACCACCCGAGCTGAACAGAGTACTTTACTGGATGCAGCTCTGGGGAATTGCTCAGGTCTCACCAGCCAGCCCATGCATGATTTCTAATGAACAAGATACGACAGAAATGAGGGCTGCACGTGAGCTCATCAGAAGACAGAAATGGCTTAAGCCTTTCATTTCGTCTTTTATCTCCAGGCCACAGTTCTCTTCCTGTCAAGTCCCTCGTATTCACACTTATTTCCCGGAATCTTTGACAGCAAGAGTAAATGAGTCTGTTACACACTAACATTGTGTCCCGGAAGGAAACCAAAGAAGGCGCTCAGAACACATGGGAATAGAAGGAGGTCAATCCTAAGTGACCCTGAAGTCTTACTCACCCTCGCCTGCCTTTGTCTGACACTTATGTTCTGACAATATGAACCCCATAGTCCTAGTACAATCACATGCGCGTTTCCAGCAAATGATGGCACCACCCACATGCTCTATGCTCTGCCTCACAACCTAAAGCAGTAACAATAGCTCCATCCACTACTGGGAGTGGGGCCATTGTTAGTCCTCTTAACACTGTGCTGGTCTCCAGTTCAGAAAAGTTAAGATTCAAACCTCTGTACATTTACTTTGTAACGACCATTGTGTTCATAGTCAGACTTTCAAAAGCATCTGAAAACCTGCTGCTAAGTGTCACCAACACTCACTCCACCTGCTTTCTCCCTCTAAAACTTAAACGGTGCCCGCCCCACACGAATGCAACATGAGGGGCCAGAATGAAGTGCCAGCTCTCGTACAGAGCTGTATATTTTCCCCAAAATTTCTTAAGAGGCTGGAAGGAGCCAATGGCCTTTATGTAGAAGGCCTAATTTAGAGTTAACAACATACTTGTCAGTTCTATTTCATTTAATCCTCACAAATATTCATGGGGGAAGCATGGATGCTATTTTCAGACTGAGGCACTGAGAGACTTGGGCTTAGCCTGAGCTCATACAGAAGACTATCGACAGAAGTAAGATGCAGCTTTGCCACCCCAGTGGTCAGACATCTCACTGCACAAGAATCCACAGAGTTTATGCTTAGCTGGCCACCAACGGGGCACTCGCAGGTAAGGCCATGCTAGACAAGAACAGAACTGTTAACCACTATGATGCAAAAAAGGAGAGAAATTTCCGTTCTAATACACACGGGCTTCAAGGATGCGGATGGAGCGGAGGAAAGGATGGGAGGGAAGAAAGGAGGAAAGGAGGAAGAAGAAGGGAGGCAGGGAGAAAACAGTATGTGTATGTGCACACGTGAGTACACACACACACACACACAGAGCAAACTAATAGCCACTTACCTTTGAATCCACCTTGTTAATATTGTTTTGGCAAGTACAAGCTGTAACAATTAGATGATGGCAGCGTTTATGGACGACACAGGTGCACACTAGGAAATTAAATCCAGCAATTACAAACGTGCCTAAACTCAGCAGCATCAGTAAAGGCTGCCCCACACCACTGCAACTTGGCTGCAGGTCTGGCCCCCGTGATGGCAGCGGGCACACTCACCTGTCCTAGTGCCTTTACATACCAACTACCTGTCATCTAGTCCCGAGACTATTTCCTTGTCTCAGACTTCTCTCCAACCCACAGTGACCTCTAGATGACTCTGCCCACAGTATAACGTGGTTACTTCTGTCTCACCAGTGAACACTTCCAGTGGCCTCTCACTACCAATCAACAGCATCCGAATCCCTCGGCTAAGTCTCAGGCCTCCCGAAGGCTACTCCAAGCCACCTATCATCTTTCTTCTGTGGGATCCATTTGTTCCAGTAAAAACTAAACTAGCTGATTGTTCCAGAGCAAGTCTTCACCCTTTCCCACACTATCAAAGTCTTTCTCTATGCCCAGGATATACTATTGGCCTAGCAACTAAATCTTAAGTTTACAAGACACAACTCGAAAGATAGTTTTTCAATGAAGATCTCCCACATGAGGCTTTCTGCCTGAAACCATTGCTCCCACCTGGGATCCCCGCTCCACCCTTAGCCTGCACCATCCTTGGCAGAGCAGAGTACATGTCTGATGAATGGCTCAATTGTCTATTTAGAATTTTTCAAGGAATACATTTTTTTCTCATTTCCATCCTGATAACTGACATAGTACAGAGGGACTTGAGCTTGTCATTAAAGGATGAATGCACACAATGAAGCAGTGTGGAAATACGCGTCAGGCAGGATCTTTCAGGATGTGCAGAAAGTTGTAGGATTAACAACAGTGAGCAAACAGCACTGTTCCTTAACACAGACCGAGTTGCTACCATAATGAATTCTCAGGACGACCACAGTGCAAGGACCCAGTGAGATTTTTTTTTTTTATACAAAGGGATTTCAAAACCACCCTTCAAATGGAAGACTTTCTTTTTAGGGTATTTGGTTTTTTACTGGTTAGCCTGACTAGAAATGTATCACTTTTATTGATTTTTTAAAAAAAACGTTCAGTTTCATGGATTTTCCTGTTTTCAACTGCACTGATTTTTGCTCTGATTTTATTATTACTTTTCTTCTGCTCACTTGAGGCTTAAATTTCTCCTCTTTCTCTAGTTTTGTAAGGTAAAGATTTAGATTGTTAATTTAAATTTTTTTTTTTTCTTGTAAGAGTACTAATGTACAAATGTTCATCTGAGTACTTCTTTCACTGCATTTTGTATATTTTTATAAATTGTATTTAATTTTTATTGGATGCAACAGATTTTTTTATGTCCTCTTCAGTCTTTGACCCGTGTGTTATTTGTTCAATGTCCAAATACCTAGGGCGTTTCCACCTATCTTTCTATTATTGTTTTCTAGTTAAAGTCCACTGTGGTTGGCAAAGATGCTTTTTATGTTTTCTGCTCTTTTAGATGTGAAGGTGGTTTTATGGCACAGATGTGGCATGTGTTGGTAAATGTTTCTGTTGAGCTTAAGAAGAACATGTCATCTGCTTGTCAGACGCTGTGTTTAACAAATGTCAATTTGATCAAATTATGATAGTGCTATTTAGGTCAAGCTTCTGCCTGCTGAGTCTATCAATCACTGAGAGATTTAAATAGTATAGTAGACTCGTCTATTTTTCCTTTTAGTTCCATTTTTATCTCACATATTTTGATGTCTATTGTTAGACACATATATGTTAAGCAATATTATGACCCTGTTACTATTATATAATGTCCTTCTTTATCCCTGAAAATTTTCCTTGCTCTGAATTCTGCTTTGTCTAGGATACCTACTCTGGCTTGCTTTTTGATCAGTCCTGGTGCACTATACCTCTTCCCAACTAAGCATTTTGTTTGATATCCTTTAACAAGATGTGAACAAAGGTATCCTCAGGTCTCCTGATTTATGCTCTTTTCCGCTCTTTAAGCAACTGGTGGCTCTACGAGTATCAGATCTTCAAACATCCTACTACTGTAACGAAAAAGGAAAAGAAATTGAAGAGATGTACTCTAAACCATATATTTTAATCTCAGAACTGTAAGCTTGTCTATCCAGACTTTTTCAACTTTTCCTGGTATGTGTAAGATGGGAGGTCACTATAAGGCCTGTCCCTGGTGCTAGGGTGGCCCAGGCTGCAGGAGTAGTATTGACTTGTCTTATGGTTGACACATTGTGTCAACTTGAGAAGTTTAGAAGTTTAACTAAGATCCTCACAGCAGGGAGCAGGGTTCTTACTTTGTAAATATCTTAGTCCTGTGCAAGAGGAGGGCAAGACTTTGTGAGTACCTCCAGGGGAGAGGGGTCCTGGTGGCCTGTGTACAATATAAAGGAGGAAAAGAGGCTTGCTCTGCTCCCTTTTTCTTCCGGCTGCTTTTGCTGGCTGCTGCCTTGACATGTTGCCCTGAGGTAATGCCAAGCTGCTGTGGAGCCTGCGGATTATGGACTGAAACTCTCACAAGCAGTGAGCTAAATAAACTTTTCCTTCCTTCATTTTGGGTGTGAGGTATCCTGTCCCAACAATGAGAGCCATTAACCAAGACAACTGGCTCGTGACTTGTCTTCTCATTGAAGAGTGATACCATATAGGTCACTTATTACTGTTGTATTGATTACACATTCAGTTTTTCTAACTTTGAGAATGCAATGAAAATTTTTATGCACACTAAATTCAAAATTGGATCCATATGTACATGTCATTCATTTCCTCTAAGGCAGATACTGTGTTACCTCTCCTCCTCCAGAAGAAGGCAGAATTTCCTTATTTACATGTAGACTACTCCTCTAGAATAGAGATTATTGTTTTTACCAACTATTTTTAAGAAGTTACTGTACGTGTACACTGTGTGACAATGCTTACACCAATGGTAAGGGAGGACCAAATAAAAGGCCTATCTGACCCTGCCTGGCTAAGTCCTAGGGAGCAAGGGTCTTCCAATGGTACTGGATACTAGTACACTGGTTTTACCTTACAACTGTCAAAATCAAAATAACTTTAAACCCACAGGATCATTAACTGCTTAACTTCAAACAGTTTTCACATCTTTTGAAATACAAGTTTTTCTACAACTTTGAGTAATAGTTTGTATTCTCTAAGAAGACAAAGTTGAGACTGAAATGTGCTATTTCTCACCCCTCTTGATAACGCAATGTGAAAAACAAAAATGTGTCTCTGAGATTCAAGGCCACGCTCACAAAATAGTGCTACTTTCCAGCACTTCTGTGTTATGGCAAAGACAACACTTTAGACAACGAAGCTTTACTGGGCATTCTGGCATTAGAAATATAAACATCTCCTCTACATTGTCTAAAATATACAAGATTTACCAAAACAAAAGATTTATAACTACCTGGGAGGGTCTCTTTTGACCTATAGACAATCATTTAACACAATATTAATGGAACATATCTGTTTGCCCTGGATATAATTATCTTTTAACATAAGAGCAAGATTAAAAGTGGTTTTAAAAATGTTTTCTTACCTTGGCATTGATAACCCTGTTTCCCAAATACTCCCCTGTTCAAAACAACAGAGAAAAAAATTGCCATCAGTCAAGTATTTCAGCAATAACATCTTGTTATTACAGTCCTTAAACAAAGAATCTTATCCCTTGGTCCTTTACAAAAAACACAATTTCAGAGAGGAGGCAAAGATGTGCACCTTCTGAACCTGGTTTGTTACCTTGAGACACAAGAATGCCATCTAATGAAGGTTTCAAATGCTCCGGGTGATGTAAAACAATCACTGCCCTTCTGCCAGCATCCCAAGTCCTCAATGAAAGGAGGCCCCCGCCTGCACATGGCTCCCACATGCGCACACACACACACACACACACACACACACACACAGAGTACACTGATGGTCCCATCCCTGTGCCCACTCCCGAAGTCCACAATAGGGCAGAAGTGCCGCCACTATGGCCCTCCCTGCCCGCTGCTTTGATTTCTCCTTCTCCTTAATATATTCTGTTACTGAGAGTGATGTTACTCCCTTCTTTAACAAACACCACAGATGACTAAGCTCACAGGAGGTACCAGACCCTTGACCAGGTGGCTACTACATATTAGTTCATTTAATCCTCTCAGAAAACCAAAGGAGGAAACAAACAGGATTACACGCACAGAGGCCAAGCGGTACAATCTGAGGCAAGTTGTTAACTTCTTCAAGTCATAGTTTTCTCATCTATAAAAGGGAATAGTTCTTGATCTCTGGTACCAAAGTGGGGGAAAAAGGAACAGTGATAACAGCTCTGACTTGGTAGGGTTAGCAAAGCCAGAATGAATTGACAAAATGCTCAGAAGCGCCTTGCACTTTAAGTGCTCTCTAAAAGCTTACTATATCAATAAAATAAAAGTGTCGTCTCTGTTTTGCAAATGGGCTGCAGAACTTAAGTTCACATATCCAGCAGGTGATGAGATTGAATGACAGAGTCCATACTCATAAAGCACACATCAGTGGTTTAAGTGGACAGGGCAACTGTGTGTGCGTGTGTGCATGTGTGCATGCGTGTCAGCGGGTGTCAATGTTGTTTCCTTTGATAAAAAATGATTGAAATTAGAAAATAAATTTCTACCAAGAATGTGTGCAGAGGTCAGAGGTTGGCAGCATAATTCCCTTTGAGGGCCAGGGAGGTCACACCCCAAAAAGTAAACAGACTGGGGAGCTGTGAAATAAAAGGGACAGGCAGCAGCCTTAAAGACAGGCAGACTAGAAAGAGAGGGGTGGGGCTGCGGCCCGCTGGACAGAGAAGCATCCTCAAGGGTGCATGAGGCTTCGAGATGCCAGAGGAGCTCACTTTCCCAGACAACGCCATAGGAATTTTTTTCCTAAAGTCAATAAATAGTCTGGCACAGGTACATTCGTATCAGTACTCTGTTTAGGGCCTTAAGATACTGTTCTTGCTAAAAACCCCAGAAACACTGACTAACCCTGGTTTCTAGCAAGTGAGAGAGAGAGACCCAAAGTAACCACAAAAAGTAGGTAAGTAAGCAAGCAAGCACTGGAGCTTCCTTAAACCAAGTGGCTAAAGCATGTAACACTGGGACAGATCTCTTCATACTACAGTGTCTCCCTGTCGGGGAGAAGTGTGTGTGAATGCGTGCGTGTGTGCGTGTGAGGCAGTGTGTATTCTCTTTCTAAATACAGTAAATACACTTAATGTTGCCTCTAACTGAAATAGCTATTGATAATATTGCCTCTAAGTAAAGACAACATAGATTTGACATTGAAACTAAGATTCTGTTTTATGTAGTGTAAGAATCTGCCCCAAATCTTTAGATAATTTCTCATCTGTGGTAGTTCCTAATGGCCAGAGATTAAATTATAGATTAATTTACATTATTCTATGGATTTTATAGAATCACTTAGTACTATAATCTTCTAGGCTGAAGGTACTGAGCACTTGGTTTTCTTGTATCAACTAATTTTCAGAACTTATCACATAGTTAATGCCTTCTTAAAAGCAATACTTCTGATTTTTCTTTCTCCCAGATTGATTCTCTGATTTACTAATTATCTCCTTACTGACTGATTTCTTCTCTGATTTATGCTTTTTGATAAGTTTATGACTAAAAAAAAAAAAAAAGGAAATACTCCCTAAAACTGGGATTTTTGTTGAGTTTTGGGTGATGGGGCAGCGGAAATGAAAATTCCCAGCTCACGTTAGAAGATGACAGTTGAGATAGGAAAAGCGATTCCTGAAGACTATGCTGCTGCGATAAATATCACACAAAACCAAAAGAAGCCTCTCCCAGAGGTTCTCAGGAGGCTGCCAGAGGATTTCTTACCAGATAAACTCCCTGCAGTGGGAGCAGTAGGTGGGCTGCCTCAGGTACGTGGCCATAAACTTGTGTCCGTTGATCTGGTGGACTCGCCTTCGCATAGCCCGTTGGCGCTTCCTGGTAAAATGCTTGAAGATTCGGTCTCTATGGTGAGTGGCTGTACATTAAAAGAAAGGACAAAAAGGGAAATGTGTAATAAATCTAACTACACTTAATGTAGGAGAAAGTTTGAAAGTTAAATATTTCTCCAATTACTTTTTCTTTTTTCAAGATTGAGAACATCTTGGAAAATTACCATGCTTTCCTAAAGATCTTTGGACTGAAGCTTAAACCTCAAACCCCTGAGGTCCCATTGCCTGATTATAACTGGTCCCATCTCCCCGCACAGACCACGAGTGTCCTAAAGGTCCTGTGCTTCAGTACGTGACCTTGACATGGTACTTTAGATTCTGTCTAGAGATCTCGGATCTCGGGTCAAACATGGGGAAAGCTGAGAGCTTCTGAACATCCTTACTTTTCCCCTTTACTTCCGCTGCCCTCACAGATCAGACGAGCAGAGTGTCCCCAGCCTGGGTTGTGTCCCCAGCCTGGGTTGTGGCAGGCCTGCCCCAAAGCAACTGGTACAGAACCACTTTGGTAGACAAGGACTAGGAGGAAAAGGGTCTGGGAGAAGTACAGAGTGTTCTAACTTAAAATGTTCATCTGAAGATGCTGAAAATGGTGTATCTTTAAAAGATAGTAAGTGATGTCTTATATTTATACTAAAGCTTTTCAAATGTAAGCAGAGACTTGGGATTCATAAAATAAAACTTGCTTCCCCAACAATGCTTTTCAATAAAAAACTGATGCAATGGAAATGTAAGCACTCAAACAATAATAATTTGCTAATAAATTCAAAAGCTGGAAGGAATAGATCATTTTTTCCCCTTTCTTTTCAATGGGCAAATAATAACTATACAACTCTGTGGCATATACTGTAGTGTTCCAGTACGTTTTACCACTGTGAATTGATCAATTTAGAATACTTAGGTTGTCCATCATCTCAAACATTTACCATGTCTTTGTGATGAGAACATTCAAAATCCTCTTTTCTAGCTATTTTGAATTATGCAATATATCATTAACTATAATCACTCTCTGTGCAAGGAAACACCAGAACTCATTTCTCCTCTCTGCCAATGACTCTGCACTCAATCTCTAAAATAATCTCAAATACATGCAATAAAAAATTACAGGAGCAAAAAAGAAAACAGAAAAATGCTACACTCCTAGGACAGGAATAAGACAACAAAACTCTAAAGCCATAAATGATACATGGATTCGCAGTTTAAGAAAGTTAAAGTTTTAATTGGCAAATGACAAAAAAGCAGAAAACTGAAAGAAACAAACTGGGGGGGGGACGACTCTGCAACATTTGATATAGGCTCACTATTTATAAAACAGAGAAATCAGTAAGATCAAGGGGGAAGGATCCAGTAAATATGGGGCCAGGGATATGAGGAGGCAATTCATATGCAAATAGTCACCATGCCAAGATGTCCAACCCAATCCAAGATGGGCACTCAGACTCTAGCAGCTAAATCAGGCTCTGCCTCTTACATTAATAAATATTAAAAGATTCACCCCACACTGACAGGGGTCAGTAGGAGTATACATGGGCTCTGGTGCTGGTCCAGCTACAGTGGGTGTCATCCTGCTAAGGCAGTACTTTCTTCCTGGAGTTTTTTTAAGGATTCAAAGTCAAAGTGTTTAGCACAAGACATACTGTAGCAGTCAAAAACCTTGACTATTTCAGGAAGAATTCTTTTGGAGATCAATTTGACAATGCTTGTCAAAGTTTTAAACATGAATTTCTTTTCATTAAGCAATTGATCTAATTTTTTTTGTTTCAATAAAAACATCAGTAAGTCACAATATATACACTATCTTTTAGGAGTACTACGGATGGAACCTGGGTCTTCACACTGAGACCTTTTTTACTTTTTGAGACAGGATCTTACTAAGTTGCTCAGGCTGGCCTCAAACTTGTGACCCTTTGGCTTCCCAGAGGGCTGGGATGTCAGGAATGTGCCACCGTGCTGGAATGCTCGTATAGTCTCAGGTACTCAGGAAGTTCAGGTAAAAGGATCACTAATGCCTAAGAGATCAAGGCCAGTCTGGGGTACACAGCAATACCCTCTCTCAAAGAAAAGGAGGGACTACACTAGAAATTCTAAAGAACAAGATGCAGAAATGGCCTAACCAGCTAAGGAACCAATGTCTTCAGAGGCTTGAGCACAGCTAAAATTGTACCCACTACACTCTGCATTTGTCATGTGCACAATTTCTGACAAGCTACTTTATTACTGTCATTCTCAGGTTTCCTGTCTGACTCAAAAAGATAAAATACATCCCTTCCCTGTCGTCAGCCCTTGGAAGATACTGTCACAATCATTATTCCTAACATATTCCTTCTTTTTCAATGAGGATCACATAGGAACCGTCATCATACTGGATGGCCCCTTTCTGTGACTGCCAGTACTTATTAGAAACTCTGACGCAAACAAGTTTTGTGCCCTTGTTGGCAAGTGATAACGTTATGCTAACAGTATCACCCCATATCTAGCTTATGTGATCAACAGCCTGAGACCAGCTCAATACAAGCCAAGGCAATACTCGTATTGAGTAACTAAATACTTATCATACCTAGAAGCAAAATGAATTTGCCCTGGAGGGCTAATTACCAAGAACTTACTGATTCAATCTTTTAATGCTATAAAGATTTGCTAAAACTCACTTGTATTTTTAATATTTCATGAGTTGAATTTTTTTTCCAATGCTATGGCCATAGTAGTCTCATGATCTATGAATTTTCCATTGGACTCCTTCTCTACAGAAGGACGTGGGAAGAAATTGTTTACTGCTCTCCACTGCCCTGTTCAGATTTTGAAACTCTCATTCCTGCCTTTGGGCCTAGCTAGAACACATGTCCCTATTTTTTCCCCCAACTAGTTATCTTACATTTATCTTTACCCTATCTGCCTCAGAACCTAAACAACCCCTTCGCCCAAATCCCAAGCCAAGTAAAATGCTCCTCATCTGTCCCAGAGCAGCCTGGAGTACACCTCAGTCTTCTTACCCTACAACTGTCATGTCTCCGTCTGTCTGTTTCTCGCTGTTTCTGTCTCTGTCTTTGCCTATGTGTCTGTCTGACTGTCGTGTGTCTGTCCCTTTCTCCCTTGTCCCCCCTACCCCTCCACTGAGGACTGAACACAGGACCTTCAAATTAAGCTACCTCCCCAGCTATTTTTCTATTATTTTGAGCCAGAGTCTCACTAAGTCACTAAATTGCTCTGGCTGGGTTTGAACTTGTGACCTCCCAGCTAAGTCTCCCAGAGCGCTGTGATTATAGGCATGTGGCACCATGCGTGGCTGATCCATTTCACATCATCCCTGGGCATGGACTCTAAATGCCATTCTTCCTGTCTCTGCATTCCTTTGCACAAGTGCATCTTAAATGTTTCAAGAGCAAATGCACACACTCACATTCACAGGTACCCTGGAATCCGGCAGACATTTGTCCCATAATAAAAAGAAATAAATGCCTTGCCCCCCAGCTTCCAGTGTTGCTGATCTCTTGAGAGACACCACCAATAATAGGAAGAAAGGACTCCCTCTCTGCACTCTGGTCACCCAAAAACAGATCTGGGCCTCCCCTCACTATCAGACCAGAGGGAGCTTCTTCCTTGCTGTCCATGCTGCCTGCTCCCTAGAAGTGAGTTTAAAGGCCCACAAGGGACCCCTGAATCCTGCTGTGCCTTATACCAAGTGGGGCTTTGAGGAATCTTTCAGATCACATTTTAGTCAGAGTCATCAGGCAACCCTAACATCCTCTGCAGCCAAAACTTGCACTGCGACTTTGTTTGGCTGCTAGGATGCCCAGTGCCTCTTAAGGACGTAAGAACCTGGCTCTGTGTCCCACTAGGGAAATTCACATTCCACTCTCCAGAGGTCGGCAGCCCACAGTCCTGATCTGCCTCACAGGGGTTAGAAGTGACCAGCCTCCCACCAACAGGGTGTCCAGTCACTGTGTCAAACACAATTTGCCAGTTTTTTTGTTTTTTGTTTTTTGGGTTGTTTGTTTTGTACCAAGGATCAAATTCACAATCTTGTGCATGTTGTGCAGGCGCTTGTGGCACTGAGCTAAATCCCCGCAATTTGCCATTCTTAGCATTCCATTTCTCCAAATCTGGTTGCTATCCCAGACGTGTTCTGAGAACAGTGAGTGGTCAAGTGACTCAGAGTCATCCCACAACTTCGGAGAAGTTTTTACTTGCAACAAGTTGTGCTGAACTAAAACTTGCATGGGTCATGTGAGGCCGTGTGGTGGAGAAACACATCTAGGAAATGTCTAGAAACCCAGTTCTGCTTTATATAAAAAAAAAGGCAACTACTCCGTCCTTTGTTCTACCCATCTGAATTTAAGGTTTTATATGCCACCAGCAGAAACACATATCTGGAAATACTTCTGCAACATTCTGATGAGGGGCAAAGTCATAATTTGTAATTCCTAATTTTCAAATGATTATAAGCAAATTTAATCAGACAAAAAAATGGACAGTATGGCAACTCTCAATTTCCAGGATTATTGATATGAAATGTGTGAAGGAAGTAACTTTGATTAAGTGTGAATACGATGTAGCTCTGTTAAGCTGAGCTGGCCTCACCATGCAGCACCATGCATTTGGGGATTTGGGGTGCTGAGGTGCTGTGGAGGCTGAAAAGCCTTTCTAGGGATGGCAGGGGAACAGGGTGGGAGATCCAGACATGAAGGCTGGGGGTGACTCCCGCTGTTTTCCTGAAAGCTGCTGACCTTGAGTGAGTTGTTTAACCTTCTTGGCCTGAGCACCCTCATCTATAGCGCATGAAGAATACGTCCTTTCCCCAGCTCATTCGGAGCAAGCACTCTGCGAGTTAACGTCACCACTGGAAAAGAACTCAACAGGTAGTAACTGTCACCAACTATAAATGTAAAAACCCTTGTTTCATACTGTCATAGTGTTCTAGGAATAGAAGGGATTTTTTAATTCGGTTGCTCATCTAGAGGAGGAATGAATATCTAGGAAATCAGTACACAGAGAAGTTACATGTTTCCAAGACCTGCTAGCTAGTGAGCGC